AATGTTAGAGAAACACATAGGTGTGTGGAGTGATGGAGTTTGTGTGAGTGTTTTTACACCTGCAGGATTAATGTTAAGCCCCTCAGACGCCTCTCATTGTACTGGTGCTGAGCTCCACATCTTTCATCCTGTCTGTCGCTCTGCGCGGCTCCTGCGCTGTTGAAAGAACTCGGCGCTCCGGGATTCTCCCAGAACTCCTCAGAACTCCTGCTGCACACAGGCTTGGCCCGGTTGTTGCGGGACGAACCGGACTGGGTGGAGCGGCGGAGGGCACGAGACCGTGCGGAACTGCGGCAGTCACACTGGCACACAGCAGGGAGAAACTAGGGGGGCCCGTCTGGCCGGTTGGGTGGTCAGTGGTTACTTGATCCCAGGATTCTTAAAAGAAGCCATAGAATTTGTTTCAACAACATGGCTGGACAGCTTGTTCCACACTCCTGCCATCTTTTGTGTCAGTAAGAGCCTCCTGTGCTCAGCTTTAATTGCTCTTTCACTTAGTTTCCACTTGTGTCCTTTGGTTCGTTTCTTACTGTTAATTCTGACTGTCCACTGAGACTTTGAGGATTCCCTCATAGTCCTCTCTGTTCAAGAGTAAAGAGACTCAGTTCCTTCAGACTGAAGAGACTCAGTTCCTTCAGCCTGAAGAGACTCAGTTCCTTCCGCCTGTCAGTGTAGGACACTCCCTTCAGATTAAAGAGACTCAGTTCTTTCAGCCTGTCAGTGTGGGACACTCCCTTCAGACTAAAGAGACTCAGTTCCTTCAGTCTGTCAGTGTGGGTCACTCCCTTCAGACTAAAGTGTAGATTTAGTGTAGAACTTCCCTTTAATCCACTGAATGTCTCTGGCTGCTTTTGTCTGGGCAGGTTTTTAGCACAAGTTTAGCACAACACCCTTGTTTTTAATTCTCCACTATGGATAAACATTTTATCCATACGTTTGTATTGCTCCCCTACACTGTCTGGAAGTTGTAGCAACTTCTATTCTTTTTCATGTTTTTCAGCATTGATACCTTAGTCAGTAGACCATCAGACTTTACATCTGACGGCCCAGGTTCAAGCCTGTATTTGGGTGGGTCAGGTTGTTAATATTATCCAGATGGGCCAGACAGTTTCTCCCTGCTCTCATGTGCACGATGTGTCCTGAACTCCTCGGTTCTCTTCAAGCTGAGTGTTTCCCTTGTGATATCAGTAGTTTAGATTTCTGCTAGCAGATGAGAGAGACCGGTAGATGCACTGGCAGAGAAACACTCCAGGATCGGAAAACAATCCGAATC